TAAACAGAGTGATGAGGCGGGGAGCTCAACAGAGAAAACCTTTAGGTTTATGCCCAATATAGCATATTGGTAGCATATTGAAGTTCACAGAATACAACTGGAAAGGCTCAGAATGTCAGCTAAGGGGACATGTAGTACATTATTAGGATAAAGAAGCCGTAGTAATGGTTTCATGATCAGGAAGTACAGTTTTAAATATTTTACATTCTTATTTCACCACAATTTATTAAATGGACAAATACAGAAATATAAACCTTAAAATATTGTACAGCCTAATATGTCAGCTTGTTGGTTATATACAGACATTTTACTGTGTTTTATGTTTTGGAAAGTTGGTTGAGGATTTTGGATTAAGACGTAATGCACGGATAGTTTTCCCATTTAAAATAATGGCAATGAGGCTCCTGTTTAGCATTTTCTTTCAAGCAATGTTTAATGAGAGATGCCTGTGTTTCTGAATGGTAGCGCTTAGAGGGGACAATGGTATGACCTGTAAAGAAAATGGACTTGAGAGCCAGAGGGTTTTGTTTGCAGCAGTGACATGTGGACGTGAGTGTATTTTATCAATAGCCCTGACTTGGCAGGTATGGGGAGAGCCTGAAGTAGGGAGCTGGTGATGGCTGCGTCTAGGTGACAGGTGAGGGCCTCAACTGAGGCACCGATGGAGAAGGGGAATCGGAGAGACATTCCAGAGGCTGGATGGTTGATGGAAGGGCACAGAGGGTTAAAGTCAGGGAGTCTTCCAGAAGGGTGATAGGAAGGTTCAGTTCAGTTCAGTCGCTCAGTTGTGTCCGACTCTTTGCGACCTCATGGACCACAGCATGCCAGGCCTCCCTGTCCATCACCAACTCCTGGAGTTTACCCAAACTCATATCCATCAAGTTGGTGATACCATCCAACCATCTCATCCTCTGTCATCCCCTTCTCCTCCTGCCCTCTACCTTTCCCAGCATCAGGGTCTTTCAAATAAGTCAGCTCTTCGCATCAGGTGACCAAAGTATTGGAGTTTTAGCTTCAACATCAGTCCTTCCAATGAATACCCAGGACTGATCTCCTTTAGGATGGACTGGTTGGATCTCCTTGCAGTCCAAGGGACTCTCAAGAGCCTTCTCCAACACCACAGTTCAAAACCATCAATTCTTTGGCACTCAGCTTTCTTTGTAGTCCAACTCTCACATCCATACATGACCACTGGAAAAACCATAGCCTTGACTAGACGGGCCTTTGTTGGCAAAATAATGTCTCTGCTTTTTAATATGCTGTCTAGGTTGGTCATAACTTTCCTTCCAAGGAGCAAGCGTCTTTTAATTTCATGGCTGCAGTCACCATCTGCAGTGATTTTGGAGCCCCCAAAAATAAAGTCAGCCACTGTTTCCCCACCTATTTGCTATGAAGTGATGGGACCGGATGCCATGATCTTAGTTTTCTGAATGTTGGGCTTTAAGCCAACTTTTTCACTCTCCTCTTTCACTTTCATCAAGAGGCTCTTTAGTTTTTCTTCACTTTCTGCCATAAGAGTGATGTCATCTGCATATCTGAGATTATTGATGTTTCTGCCAGCAATCTTGATTCCAGCTTGTGCTTCATCCAGCCCAGGGTTTCTCATGATGTACTCTGCATCTAGGTTAAACAGGAAGGTAGTCATGGTTATATTAGCCAAGTAGGGAACCTCGAAGGAAGAGGACAAAGAAGGACAAGGAAGAGCAGCAGCAGCAGGTTTGAGGGGATGGGGATGGATGACAGAGAGGGGGCTTTGGTTTTAAATGCACTGTGTTCAGGTGTTCTCTGGAAAGGTTCCTCTGTGTCCCTCCAAAACTTAACCTGATATCTCACTCTGGCACCTCCCACTGGACATTAACAGCAGCATCACTAAGGCAGAGTGCAAATAGATGCTCTTTTATTGGAATAAGCTTTTGAGAGGGAAGACAAGACTAATGAAAGTCTTTCTGTAACCTGGAGCCTGCCAGGCCCTCTCCTCTGCTGTCCTAGGTTCTGGAGCCCCGCAGTAGTCAGGCCTAGGTGAGGAAGCGCTTCCTATAACTTGTAGGAGTCCCCCTCTCCCTGACCAGGGGCCACCTGATTGGTATTGTTTTATAGACTCAGCTGGGGCATCATTGTTTCCACCTTAAAAATCCTTGGTAGGTGTAAGAAGTTCCATTTCTGTGAGTGACATACAACCCTGATAGCTTTGGGCTTCTCTGAGACTGGTAGATTGGTAAAAGTTGATGAGTGGGACTTTAGATAAGATATTCCAGCCTTAAATCCACAATAACTATATTGGATGGACCTTGATAAAGAAGTAGGAAAATGACAGTTTTTTTCCCTGCCAAATTAATTTTATTTTTATTTTAAAAATTGAGGTATAGTTGCTTTACAATATTATTTTAGTTTCAGGTCTACAACATACTGATTCAAAATTTGTATAGATTATACTCCACTTCAATGGTTATCAAATATTTACTGTATCCCCTCTACTGTACAATATACCCTTGTAGCTTATTTATTTTATACATAGCACTTCGTGCTTCTTAATCATTACCTCAATATTGCCTCCCCCTGCTCCTCTCCACGGGTAACCAGTTTGTTCTCTATATTCATGAGTCTGTTTCTTTTTTGTTACATTCACCTGTTTAGTTTTGTAGATTCTGCATTTAAGTGATAACACACAGTATTTGTCTTTCTCTGTCTGACTTAATTCACGAAGCATAATACCCTCCAGGTCCATCCATGTTACAAATGGCAAATTTTCATTCTTTTTATGGCTAAGTAATATTCCATTAGATACATACATATATATATATATATATATATATATATATATATATATATAGTTTCCCTGGTGGCTCAGCAGTAAAGAATCTGCCTGCAATGCAGGAGACACAGGAGATGCAGATTTGATCCCTGGGTCAGGAAGATCCCCTAGAGAACGAAATGACAGCCTGGAGAATTCCACAGACAGAGGAGCCTGGTGGGTTACGGTCCATGGGACCACAAAGCATCGGACATGACTGAAGCGATTTAACACAGATGTGTAAGTTTACAAGGGCAGGGAATTTTGTCCTTTGTATTCACTGATGAATCCTAGTTCCTAGAACAATCCTGGAGCATATGGGAGCTCAATAAATATTTGCTGACTTGAGTTAAACTGACATTCAGTCTCTTCTCAAATTGAGTTTCCTGTTTCCTGTCAGTTTCGAGAGTACTCAACGTGGTGCTGTGCTGACATCTCTTAATCAGCTCAGCCCCAGCTCTTGGGGCTTACTGGGTGCACAGGTTGGGAACCTAAGCCACAGCAGAGTGCCGACAACCTTGCCTGAGTTTGTGCTGGAAGGCAAATGCGTCTTCTTGCACCAAAGGACTTGCATTCTCCCACTGGGAGCCTGGGTGCGATGGCCCTGGCCCCTCTCCCACTCCCAGAAACAGCAGGAGCAGTTTCTTCGCACAAGCATTGGAGCACAACACGTGCAACCCACGCAGCTAATGCCAGGCTAAGGGCACCATCTGTAAGGCCCTCTAGCACATGGGCGCAGCTCTCTCCCAGCTCACCGTACTGGACCTGTGATCAGTAAACGGAGGAAGGAATTGGTGGCATACTAAATGTTGTTACTGGGCCACTCCTTCAGGTCTCAGGTTTTTTTATTTTTGTATTTTTGGCTGTTCAGGCTTTTCTCCAGTTATGGTGAGCGGGGGCTGCTCTCTTGTGGTTGGAGGGCTTCTCAGTCCGGTGACTTGTTGCAGAGCGTGGGCTGCAGGGCATGTGGGCTTCGTGATTGCGGCTCCCAGGCCCTAGATCACAGACTCAGTAGCTGTGGTACATGGGCTTAGTTGTTCCGTGGCCTGTGGAATCTTCCCAGATCAGAGATCGAACCCCAGGTCTCAGTTTTAAAGTATATCTTTAAAAAACATATTTTCTGAATCCTTCTGAAATTTCCTCAAGCAGAGGAACTTTCAAATATGGTACCGATAGTAGTAAACAGGCTGATTGGGTTGTTGTTCTGCCTAATGATGTTCTTCCCTGGGAATATAGATGGTGAACACCTCTAGAACAGAGTCTCCCCAATATAACTGCCTACCAGTGCTTCTCTGCCTGTTCTTAGGCCACAATGTCAGGTGAGGTGAAGTACTCCCCCAGGTCCACAGTGCTCTGGGCTCCACAAAGAGCATTTCCAGCCCCTTCCCCAATCTGGCAGTGGGACTGGTCTGCCACATTCTTCTCATAGACTGGAAAGAGACCTAAATACAGATTCCTACAATGCCCTCCTCTCTGAGCGAAGTGGTGAAACTCATTTGAATTCTCTGGCCAGCCCTTATAATCATTCATTTATTCATTCACTCATTCATTCATCACCTGCCATTTAGCCTGCACCATCCTAGTCTCTGGGTATAGTGGAACGGAAGCCAGGCTTCAGCCCCTGCCCGTGTCCCTGCTGCCTCCTTCCCCATTCGGTCCCACTAGGCCACATCCACCCGTGGTACTCCTAGCAACCTGCCACCCGGAAGATGGGAAAGACCTCCAAACTCAGCATGGTCTCACACAGATTGTGCTCACTGCGCGAGTAAGACAAAGGCCAGCAACAAACTGAACTAGAGTTGTCTATTTTTGTTTTATTGAAATATAGCTTAAGGTGAAATAAATATTAATTTTCTAAGTTCTCAATTATTTCATAAATAATATTAAGTTAACAGACATTTTACAAAATGTTATGTTAAATAAGATAGATAAAAGTATATATATATATATGTATCTATTTTGCCTGGAGCAAACTGGTGGAAGATACTTCAGTGATTCTGACATCTGAAATACAACTCAAATTTTTTGTTTTTATGCACTTTCTGCCTGTGTGAGGTAAAACAGTTGTATGCCTAAAATATTTACTTTGCTTCTGAAGTTTAATTACACTGAATATTAAGGCTCCGCCATTGGTTGGCCCTCATCCTTGTTGCATTAAAACATCCTTCTCCTCGTCCAGAAACTTTCCCTACAGTGAAAGAGGTAGGTCTCAACTTTCCATTGTCCATTCCGTGTTTATCACACCAAGAAAAACTTGCAGGTAGTCTAGGAATTGTTTCACTCTCCATCTTTCTCCTCCACACTTCTTCTGTGAAAAGAACAGACAATAAGTATTGTAGGAAACTGTCAATTCCTACAAATGTAGGCAGAACCAGACAAATATACTTAAGTTTCCACTAAATGTTTTTAGCTTACTTTTTGGCTGTCTATGTGTTTTTTTATTAAAGACAAGTTTTTGAATATTTTTTTCACGCCATCTCCTTGTGCAGTTTGATTCTTCAATGTGTCTATTCCCTGAAAGACTTCTTCAATGCATAGTTGGTGCTAAACGAGGAAGATTTAAAAACAATAAATAATCAAAACAAGGTATAAAAATTTGGTCCCAGAAGTTAGTTGTGTTGTTTACATGAGTTCCCTTCTCCAAAGAATGTTTTACTTGTTCCTTTTCCAAGTAGCAGACCACTTCACAGTGAGATATAATTTCCAAAAGTAGATAAAATTTTTGTAATTACTGAGGAGTTTTACAAATGATATAAATTAACTCCTTAACCAAAGTTAAAATGTCTAGGAAGTATAATGTAACTACAGTACTGATTAACCTCACATGAGTTTCCTTTTGTAGTTCTAGCTGGTAATTTTATTTTATTTAGACTAATAAAATCATATATTTTACATTTTAATACAACCATGACTTACTTTAAACGTATGCAATTCCTTTATACAATCATAATAATTTAAATATGTAGAAATGACACACATATTAATATAGGGCATTCATTGTATATTTTAATGTCTACTGATCATGATTCTAAAAGTATAACCCTAACTTGCTCAAGTTTCAGAAAGACATAAAAGTGAGGAAAGTCATAGGTAGTCAGAGTTGAATGGAGACTAGGAGGCTTCTCTCACTGAATATGGGATTCTTATAAAAAGACGAGCTATTTACAATAGCCAATGTCCATTGACAGAAGAATGAATAAAGAAATAAAAAATGAATATAAAGAATGAATAATGAATGAATGAATAAATTAATAAAGAATGAGCAATGGACTATTGTTCAACTATCAAAGGAATGAAATAATGCCATTTGCAGCAGCATGGATGGACCTAGAGACTATCATACTAAGTGAAGTAAGTCAGACAGAGAAAGACAAATATCATATATCACTTATATGTAGAATCTAAAAAAATGATACCAAAGAACTTATTTACAAAACAGACTCACAGATATAGAGAACAAACTTATGGTTAACAAAGGAGAAAGGTAGAGGGAAGGGATAGATTACGAATTTGGGAGTAACATATACACACTACTATATATAAAACAGATAACAAAGACCTATTAAGTATCACCTATACTCAATATTTTATAATAACCTATATGGAAAGGAGGGAAAACAATCTGAAAAGCAATATATATAAAATAATGTATATATAAACACACACACATGTAACTGAATTACTTACACAACATTGTAAATCATCTATACTTCAATTTAAAAAATAAATTAATTTTTAAAGTAAAAAGACATTAAATACCTAAAAAAAAGAATGCCTGACTCAAGGCTGTTTGAGATGGAGAACTGACATCACCAGAAGGCCTGCTCCACTTGTTTAATGGATTTTACTTGTTATAAAGTCATTCCTAATATTTTTAAGTACATACTTTTGTATTCACACATATAAAAACAAAATGGAGAAAAGTAAATTATTCCAGTGATAAGTTTGCTTTATAGCTTAAAACATGAAATTCACTTATTCACTCAATCATTTATCAAATTATGATTTAACTTACATTTGTATGCTCAGGAGTAGGAATCATCAAGTTCTGAAAAGGAAAGGAAATACATTCATTTTAAAAGCACTCTAACACTTGTAACTTTTAGTAAAAATGCTTGCTAGTCGTATGATTATCAATTATATTTGCATTAATCTCTCATAATTTCATGACTAGTGACAGATCTTTAAAAATTAGCCACCACAAATGATTACCTATATATTTTAAAGGCTGTAGGAATCAGAAAGAAAATTACCCCATCACCTATCAGCAGAGTTCGATGAGTGGAGAGCAGTGTCAAGGTCTCTGCCACCAGTCTACTCAGGGTACTTTCTAGAGGAATGGCACAAACATGGGCAGCTCCAAGAGCTACCAAAGTCAAATGCAGAAGCATTCTCATGGCTCTGAAATGTTCAGCGTTTGCCTTGGCAGAGAAAGTGCATAGTACAAGATTGCATACCCAACCAATTTATTCTCTCTCTTTGAGGAAATGAATAATTTCTAACAATCAGATAGAGAATGCCTAATAGTGGCATATTGTGAAACTAAATATTTCCAATGCCTGTATCTTACAGTTTTACTTTTATCTTTTAATAATAATCAAAATCCCTATTTTTCCCCTTTAAAAATGTTTCCTGTTTCCAAAGAAAATCCTTAGACTGATATATCATTGCCCCACATTTGCATGTCTTAAAGTCAGAAGATTGAATTTCCTTTTAAAAGCTGAGTATAAAAAGAAGTATAATGTAAACCACTACGTAGAATTTTATGCTGAAATACATAAATACTGAGAAGTTCTTTTCAGATCAAGTAAACTCTAATGCAGTTGTAAGCTAGGTTGATCTGTCTTAAAAGAAATTGAAAATACTGGTGATTGAAGATGGTGATTAGAGTGGAGACCATCAAAACTTAGCAGTCAAGTTGTGTTCACTGTACTCTTGATTAGGATCCTTTCTATTGCCAGTAACCAAAACCTAACTCAAACTGGTTGAAGCCAAATGAGGGATTTGTTATCTCATACAGTCAAATGATCCAGGGTGGAGGCTCCTTTATGTTGCTTGCTGCAGTGACTTCTGTCTCCATTCTGAGGCAGTGACCCACTCCTTGGGTCACTGTAGACACAACACCATGTCCAAACTCTTAAATCTGTATGTACCCTGTTCGTGAGCCACAGGAGAAAGCAAATTGTGTTTTTCTGATTGCTCAATTAAAAGTTCTAGAATTCAGCCTTATTCACCCTCGATCCCATGTTTCCCCTTAAACTGTGGCCAGGGCTATGTGATATACTGATTAGCTCTCCAGGCAGCTGGAGGTGGGCTTCATCCCACTTGAACTGCATAGCTGAGAAATTGGGGGTCCTAGGTGGTAGTAAAAGGGACCTAGATCCTAGGAAAGCAACCAAAAATATACATCACATTCACATCCCACAAAGTGGGGGGATATCCTTTCACACCCTGGGTAGGCCACGTAATCCCGGGAGGGAGTAAAATGGGGCCCTCTTCTGGACCACATTCTTCCTTCTTCCCTGGCCGGAGCACACATAACGGAGGTGTAAGCCATGGCTTGTGATGGAGAATTTTAGTGAGCCTCCCAACGTGGTTCTGTGTTGGTACCCTGGAACCCTGGCTCTAGGACTATTTTGAGTATCTAGCAGAGACAGTACCAAATAAAAATTGCTACCTAGAGTCCTCTTCCAAAGCTGGATAGAGCTGTGTATGAGAAGCAGAAGTACCCCGGAGGTGCACAAGCCTTTTGAGACTACATCTCTGCACAGGTAGGGTAAAAGTAGTGTGGGACTTCAGTAGCAGCCTTCACATCTGGTTTTGTTCGTGCTAAAGTTTTGGACTCTTTGTTTGAACACTCGAAAAAACTTTTTATCTTTTTTTAAGACTTCAGGAGTGAGGTAATGAGGTAGGAATCACAATAGACTAGATCAAGGTGCTCTTAAAACGGTGCTCTCAAAACCAAAGCTGACTCAAGCTGACTTCTCTCCCTGGAAGATTTCACAGAGAGTTTGCTCTGTTTTTCCTTGACTTCTACAGGCTATGCTGAGAACGTGTGGGCTTAGATGAAGGTTTCAGAGGAACTGCCATGTGACTTGTTATCTTAGTACCTTAAATACACAAAGTTCTGAGTTTTAAACTTCTTCCTGTTATAGAGTTGTGCAGGGAACTAGGTGGTGGAGGACTAAGATACCACTGTACTAGTGTTCACTAAAGCAGGAGAAAAGCTCACCAACCCCCCATATTTTTAGGGAGCCGTGCTGGCTGGTTATGAAAATGAGTGAAATGGGCCAGGTGTGACACAGTACAGATGGTGGGGCTGCAGAAAACTGCAGCAGAGTGACCTGTCTCCAGGCGGCAAACGTGCTCAGCTCCAGCTGCCTGTTGCCATGTGACATCCTTGGACTTAAGTTGCCAAATCATCCAATTATTCAAAGAAGCCAGAAATCCTGAGTATCGTGTATAATCTCCTGATTCTTAGATGTCGGCAATTCACAGTTTTTAAAACCATACAGGGTGCTCTTTCTCAGCCTCTGATCTATCGTATAACTGTGGGTCCCTATTGGAGGGCAAGTTATTTAAAAATCCTCTAATTCAAAATTAGACATCTCAAAACTTTTAAAAACTGTGGTAAAATACACGTAACATAAAATGTGACATCAACCATTCCTAAGTATATAGCTCAGTAGTGTTAAGCACATTCATAATGTTGTACAACCCATTTCTAGAACACTTTTTTATCTCGCAAAGCTGAAACTCTGTACACATTTAACAGCTCTCTTTTTCCCCTCTCCCTCCCAGCCCCTGGCAACCATGCTTCTACTTCCTGTCTCCATAGATTTGACTATTCTAGGTAACTCACATGAGTGGAATCATATAGTATTTGTCATTTACTGACTGGCTTATTTCACCTAGAATAGTGTCCTCAAGGTTCATCCTTCTCGTAGCATGTGGCAGAATTTCCTCCCCCCTCCCCCCCCGCCGCCTTTTTTTTTTGTTTTTTGGTCATGCCACACTGCCTGTAGGATTAGTTCCACAATGAGGGATTAAACCCAGGCCATGGCAGTGAAAGCTTGGAATTTTCCACTGTATGTATGTATCACATTTTGTTTATTCATTCATTTATCAATGGACATTTAGGGTTGCTTCTATCTTTTGGCTATTGTGAATAATGCCATTATGAACATGAATGTACAAGAATGTACAGGATTACATTTCTTATAATATTGTCGTAAGTCATTAACTATTCCTCTATTAGTCTAATGTCCCCAACCTGATTGCAAACTCTCTCTGATCAGGGACCATAAAATAATGTATTTGAAAGAGGTTTATTAATGTAAAACTTCAAACAAAAGTTAATAATTTTAATCTCTTGTGCAGAATTCCAAGTAATTAAAATTTTTTATTTTATATTGAAGTGTAGCTGATTAACAATATTGTGATAGTTTCAGATGGATGGCAAAGGGACTCAGCCAAACATATACATGTATCCATTCTCCCTCAAACCTCCCTCACATCTAGGCTGCCCCAAAACATTGAGCAGAGTTCCTTGTGCTGTACATTAGGACCTTGTTGGTTATCCATTTCTAAAAAGAAATGATACAGACAAACTTATTTATGAAACAGAAACAGACTCACAGACTTAGCTAATGAATTTATGGTTGCCGGGGTTCAGTGTTGGGGAGAAGAATGGAGGACGAAAGAAGATTGGGAGTTTGGGATCGACGTGTACACTCTGCTCTATTTGAAATGGATAACCAAGTAATTTTTGTAGATATTCTAGCCTCAAGGAAATGGAGTATAATTCCCTTTCAGTGTGGGATACCCTTAAGGTAAGTGTGGGATACGATTCATTTTAGAGTGCAGTCTGGAAAGGGGATTATGAAAAGAGTAACTTTGCAATGGAGAAACCTGGCAAACCAGCTGGGTGATCAAGGTCAACATCAGCAGTCATAGGTCATGTTGCTTGTGTGTTCCCTTAACACGATGTAATGAGAATGGCATTTTATTCTTGTGGTCTTACTCCCAAAAACTCAAAACCTCTGTCTAACCATGAGAAAGATACTACACATACCCAAACTGAAGGAATAAATACCTGACCAGTACTCTTTAAAACCGTCAAGGAGATCAAAAACAAATCAAGTCTGAAAATTGTCACAGCCCCGAGTAATTTAAGACGACATGATGACTAAGTGCAATGTGGTGTGCTGGATGAGATCCCAGACAGAAAAAGGATAAGGAAGAACTAAGAAAACCCTCTCAAAACTGTGGAGTCTAGTTATGTGCCAGTGTTGGTGACCCAGCTGTGACAAATATACTATAGTAACATGAACAACAGAGGAAACTGGGTACAGAGGACCTCAGAACTCTAATGTCCTTGCAACTTTCCTGCAAATCTAAAGCTACATCAAATAAAAAGATTATTAAAAATAAACTTGCAAGTTGAAAAAAAGTTAATGATTGTTTATATTATTATTATGATGTAAAAAAGACTTTGTATCCTGTAAGTGTCACGCACTTGGGAACTTTTTTACTTCACTAAATTGTAAACACCTTGACAATAAGGGTTTTATTTAATTGATCTCTTTATCCTCATTGAGCAGCTTATTGTACACACTCAATGTTTATTGAATAAACAGGCACTTAGCTGTGTCCTGGCTGGCTTCAGTCAGTGGAGTTGCAAAGAGTCAGACATGCTAAGCAACTAACACAACAAACATGGTTGTGTTAGATGAACACATTAATGTGAGTACCGTAGAAACTGAAGGAGCCTATGGCCCGGGGCTAAGAGCCTGAAGACAGAAACAACTTTGGTGGGCTCCAAGATAGAGCAAAAGTGTAAGCTCATCTATAGAGAACAAGTCAATGTTAACTACCATGGCATTTTGAAAAACCCACATTATTTTAGGAGACTAGAAAGAAATTAGCAATCAGTATACAGAATTTTTAAGAGTTACTAATAATTTTATAGTTTAGAAGAAGGACTTTGTTGTTGAAAAGTTGTATTAGTAGGCAGCATCCATCCTGTTTTCCTAAAACCTTTGTCTCTATTAGTAAGTAAGGAAGTAAGTAAGTGTTAAGTCGCTCAGTCGTGCCCAACTCTGTGAAGGACTGCAGCCCACCAAGTTCCTCGGTCCATGAGATTTACCAGGCAAGGATACTGGAGTGGGTTGCCATTTGCTTCTCCAGGGGATCTTCCCAACCCAGGGATCAAACCCAGGTCTTCTGCACTGCAGGCAGATTCTTTACCGACTGAGCTACAAGGGAAGCCCTTTGTCTCTTAATGGCTTCCAAATTGACAACATGGTTTTTAAAAAATGATAAGGATAAGTTTGTTTGTTTTTTTTTTACTAAGCATATAGTCATTAAGGTCAAATGACTTTTCTATGAACTGATT